GGGCCGCGGGCCGACTGACACGCGGCCTTAACACCTCCCAACCCATCCAGCACGCCGCCAGGGTCGGCGGATCATGTTTATTGCTACTTTTCGATGGTCATGTGGCAGAAATACCGAATAATGCCAATAGTACTTGCAGCGCTGATGATGGTAGAAGCAGCAACCTTATTAGTAAGCATGTCAATGGACAATGAAAAGGCTGAGGGAAGTTGCAGGATGTCGGCTTTCTGGAAGCCGAAACGATTAGTTTCGACTGGTCTCCTGGCGAGTGCCCAGGAAAGTGAGCCTAGCTTCGATATCCCGAACCTGCTGAGGTCACCCAAAGAGGAGGGACCTGCTGAACCGCGAGCACGCCGATTCCTCAATGCCTGCCTGTCAGTTCAGTTTTTTCAAAGTAGTCGTTTTGACAGCGTGGCTTCAGTTGTTTTCAGTTGTTTCTCAACTGGGGTTCTGCGAAAATTTATAAACGCCGGCCCCGCGAGAGTCTGTGACAGATCAGATGGAGACGTTTCCCAGAGTTGTGCTCCGAGTCCACTGATCCAAAACCGGAGGCCAGGGTCCAGGGTCTAGGATGCTGTGCCCACTTTGAGCAGCTTTTTTTGCGGGCTTCGCTTCTCACGGGAGCACAGAAGGCATCCACTTGCAGTCCCAGCCCACGCACGGCCCAACGTCATCCGTAGTGCGTGCAAGGATAGGATCACGTCCGCCTTGACCAGTCCCATGCAACGAGGCCACCAACACGATGGATCGGCGGGCCATCAACACAGAGAGGTGGGCCATTCCAGATTCGTCAGACATTTATTCGTTCACTTCTTTCCTCCTTTGATGCTGGCATGCAATCATTGGTCAGCACCACCATCATCGTCGCCATCATCGTTATCAATCGCTTATATCTTCAAAATGGTGGCAGAAATCCAATGAAACTGTCGTTTGTTGATGTTTGTTGCGAAGGCTTGACGTTTCTGTTGCGAGTCGAATCTTTTCTAGGTAGCGAATGTTGCCGACCCGATCTTAAGGATGAAGCAAATTGTATAAACCGTGGTGCATACAAAATGCACAGGCCGCGATGTCGTATACTCGGCATGGAACACGGAAGCGGGCCAGAGAGCAAGCAACCAGATGGAAGCACCGCGTGCTGGATCCACAGGGCTGGAGGCTGGCGGGCCGGAAAGCAAGCTGTAGGGAGGGCGGAGAGCGGGTCCTCTAAACCAACTCCGAACCGACCGATCTGGATGTTCCCTCCGCCGCCGCAGACCACGACACAGTTCCTTGCAAAGCAGTGTTGTTCCTAGCAATATCTGAACCCTGATGCCAATTTTGATGTGGTTTTGGGCTTCCTTTGCAGCCAGAGCATTCGTGTAGGGTGTCGTTTTGACAACTTCGCCCGATCTCAATATTCTGACCATGCCAGTCACAAGCTCGTAAAAGAGCGGAGTTGCCGAGTGCAGTTTCGTCGGAGCTGGCATGCATCGGTTCGAGTATAGAGACTCTCAAACAAACGCTTACCGGCCGAAGCTTGTCTGTGGTGTTTTGCCATGTTTTACGGCATTGTTGTTTTGCTAGGGACTGCTAGTGTGGTAGTCACTTCAGCAAACCCGCACTGATTGAGCCCCGGCCCTGCCGCCGCCACAAGAAAAGGCACTTGTGCCATGACAGAACCCCTGCCGCGACTGAGCCCGACCGTTGCGTTCTTCATCCTTGCGCCTCAACAGTCCTCGAAATTTGCAGCCTCAAGCCCTTCTGAGAGGATATCGGAGGTATTCGTTCATCCTTGTTTCTAGTTCGAAAGAGGCCCGTGCAGGCCAGCACAACAACAAGCTCCAATCGAACTGGCAGGCTAAACAATTGGTCAGTTCCTACCCCTCAGTGGCTGTGGTGCTGCTTGGGGACCGCATGCTCGATGCGTGGGGCAAAGCTGGAACACCAAATGCCATGCACGTCAAAGTGGATGATCAACTTGCACTGTGTGGTCGTCTTTATGGCACATATGAGCCCGTGCAAAGCCTTTGCCAACAACGCATGATGGTGCACTAGAGACGCAGCAATGCGAGGAGCTGGGAGTGAAACACCCTTTCCAGACGAAGTCGGTTGGTTGACACGGACTGGGGTTCCCAACAAGTTTACCAGATACAACTGCCAAAAGCAGCCTACAAGCAACGCAGTGCAGTAAATTGCGTTGCGCGAAGACGAGTTCTGTGATGCAACCAACCAGCAACTATAGTTGGTTCTAATCTTCTCTCGCCGCGAAGGTGCTCGCTGATCTCAGGGCACACCCGGTACATCGCCACGGCGCTCAGGGTTCAGGGCTTTAGTAGAATGATGTCCCCCAGATCTGAAATTGTTCCCACAGCCCACCAAACTGAGTTCAATCTTTTCAGTGAAGCTGACATGCCAGGCCAAGTCAGGCTTGGGCGGGGGTCGTTGCGGCAAAACGGGGCAGGCCATCATCTTGCTCAGCTGTACTACGTTTTGCTATGCCATTTCTGTGCCAAGGTCCCGAGGAAGCGCGGAAGGCAGGGACAGCTGATTTCTGGAAATCGGTTAGTGCGACGCGACTAGCGCTTGTCTCGACTTCCACGGCTCAAGTGTGTCTTTTGTCGAAGTTCAAGCAACTTCCTTTCCACAGGCGGATCAGGCACGCCGACGCTCTCCGGCCCCAAAGGTAGCTCGGCAGCCACATGAGGGACATGGAATCATGACTGTCCAGAGGCAGCTTTAGACTTCAGGATGATAATGCTCTAGGACTTCAGGGCACACGTGCTGACAGGAGCAGCTTCCTGAGGCAAACTGACTGGCTGCTTCAAGCAAGTGCAAAGCGCAGATTGTAGCAGTGATTAAGTGATTAATCTTCACAACACAACAAACCGAGGAAAAGCGCGACCCGACCTGTAACCCAGTCTAAGCTTCGAAGTGACATGTGAAGCTCCGCGGAGGTTGGGCCGGCAAGCGCCAAACCGGCGCTGAGGCGGCCAAGCAGTCGTGCCAAGCGGCGGCCTCAGCAGCCCCATGTGCTGAAAGAGCTTCGTTGCAGCTCTCTGGAAAGATCTGGGCAGATGTCTCGCTCATGCAGTCGAGGAATGGAGCACGACATATCTGCCTAGCAGAGCGGTACTAATTACCAGTCAAGCCGGCAAGAGTATGTCAAAACAGATCTCGGAAAACTGTTCTGTCCGCCTGACGCAGTAGCACACGAGTGTTCAACCATTTAAATCCGGGTGCAAAGGCTGCGAGCCAGCTCCGCAGACTCTCAGACGGGACATCGAGGCTCCTGCGCACACCGACTTCGAGCTATCCGCTGTCCCCTGCGGCACAGACTATCTCGGAGCCTCCAAGCCCAACGCTGATGTCGACCCAAATTGAAGGAGGATCCTCGGGCAAAGTTTCCGAGACCAGCCACGGAAGGCCCTTCGCATTTCGGAAGTCCCAGCGACGCTCTCTCTTATGCACTCTCTCAATTACTTCCTTTCTCTGGGTCAGGAGAGCCACCTCGCCGCAACCGGAGCGCTGGAAGCACTGAGGGGCTGGACCTTCTGCATTTGGAGTCAGGCGACGCTGAAGTTCAGGGCACCCTACTTGAACCCCAACCCTGCTGATCTACAGCTGCTGATGGATGGCACTTTAATGGGGCACTGAGAAGACACTCAACGAACCACGTGGATTCCAACTGCGTCACGGAAAGTCTGGAAGAGTGACAAGCTCCATTCGGGAATGGCGACACCACATGCCGATTTGGCTTTCTTTGCCGTTGCCCGCGAGATGGTCGCTTTTAGGATGGTTTGGGAATAAGGGTGTTAGCGGGCAAGCGCAAAGCCTATGTAGCTGGCAGCTTCGTTTTTCTCTCGCGGATCCGCGGCTGCATGGACTGCAGGCTCTAGAATTCGCAGAGCCATCACTGCCGCGATAGCTTATTCCTGCACTGGTCCCACCAATGCGACGACTGGATGTACTCCTTCGTTCAACAAAGGGGTCTGTGGAAGGTTTCCTTGTGTGGCATACGTAAAGTCAACTACTGCACATTCAAAGTGCAGAACGTGTTATAGTCTTGGCACACCGTTGTGAATGCCACAAATCTTGAGACAACACGTTGGCGTGTTAAGCTTAGATGTTTACGGGTTTTCACAGCCGGGCCATGCAGGTCTGCAATTCTGACTGGCTAGAGCGAATTGTCACATGCACATCGAGCAACATCCTTTTTCAAGAGTACCTTGCAATAGTAGCATACATGAATCGGAAGTCAGCATGGTAATGTGTGCTATGAAAAAACCACCGAAGGGTTAGGGCTCTGAGACACATCACCCCTTTCATCCATGTGCATAAGTGGAACACGGGGAAATGCTCCCACAAGCAAAACTACCAGGGCAGGCAGAAATCGTTGTGGAATATGCAATGTAACGTGCACCCAACAGCCTCTTTACGAAGAGCCTTGCTAAATTCAAGGACATCAGTCGGTCGTTTGCACGAAGCACCCTTTGGTGCACCTGATACTGCAATGATGGTGTGAACCAACCTAGAAGTTGTCAGGAACGATGGCCAAGTCTCTAACCTGCACCAAGAGGCTATGACAGAGGCATCACAAGCTGGACAAGCTTGCCGCGTCGCTGAATCTTGAAGGTACTGTAGAAAGTTACCACAGAAATGGCAAGCAGGAAACGCCATCTTATAGTCTTTACGAAGAGCCTTGCTTGGTATTCGATTACGACCTGTTAAAAGCACAGGGAGAGACATGATTGCGTTTGACAGTTGGTTGGATGGTGGGACCTTGCACCAGAAAGTCCGGGACAGTTACTGCCTTACCTGTACATAACAGGGCAAAGTCAAGTGCAGCCTTCCCGCCCGCGCACTCGATTGGCAGGGAAAGACTACACTGCACTTTTGAGTTGAAGTGTGTCCGTGCAGACTGTAGGTGTTTGCATTGGTGCTTCATCTTGCAAGCATCGAGCATGCTGCCATGCCTTACGGTGTAGGAATCCGCCAGTAAATCGGGCACCGTTGATCGGGAGGCATCATTGGGAGTTCCGCGCGACCACGCTGTTTCTGGTCGTCTGCTGTCTGGAGATCAGGCTTTTCGTGCGGGCATGCCACGCATGAAACATAAACCTGCGGCTGTCGCGTAGTCCTGATGCGGGAGACTTCCTGTCTCCAGTCACGAGAACCGCAAACTTATTGAGAATGAAGGGCAGGCTTCACAGCCTTTGGGTGCTGGCCAAACGGCATTGCTGACCTTCTGCATCTCCAGCCACCTCCTTCCTGATGTCGTAGCACTGTTAGTTAGCACCTCCGCTTGTTCGGAACATGCTTTGCACCTGGCCGATCCCTGAGTGATCTCATCTTCGCCGTCGACTCGGTGAGCGCGATCGTGGCGCAGGTCAACGATTTGTTCCTGGCGTAGCTGTCTCAGATGTGTTGTGTTTGTGGGAACTTGCACAAGATTGCTTGGCTGGAGCTCTAGTCACCACTCAGGTACACCTCCGCAGTCTTTGCGATGCTGGGCCTGCGCGCAACATTCTTCATCATCGCCGCTCGCTCAAGCCGTTGTTGCATAGGCCATCGAGAACGGGGGACGTGTTTTCTTGGTCCCTAAGCCAACCTGATGTTACAGCTCGCCTGATGATACCCGTTGGTCCCTAAGCCAACCTGATGTTACAGCTCGCCTGATGAGACCCGAGCCCAGTCTGCGACAATGCCAGTGATTTGGTGTTGGGTATTGTTGGGTAATTATCGCATGCCTTGGGACTGGCAAATCAGTAGCTGAGGACGTGCTCGTCCACATGTTCGAGCTTCTCAAGTACGGAGTGGCGGCCGTCTCTCAACGGCAAGAACTGCGAAATTACATGGATAGGCTAGGGCAGGCTGGCAAATGAGGTGAAACTGCGAGGGATTAGGGTTTAAGGTTTAGGTGTTTTGAGTTTAGGGTTTCGGGTTGGGCTTCGCAGCTTTCGTTAATTTTCGCCGCTTCGCAGCAGCTTCGGATTATTAAGGCACCCCCTAGATGTTCAAGTAGTTGCATTGCAGTGCGTTCGATTGTCGGCTTGGTCTCCCGTGTCATTGAGCAGACCCTTGCTCCCGCGCAGTAGGTGCTCATCTTCATTGGAGTGAAGCTCATTCTGGCCCACCACTACACCATCGAGCCAGCCACTGGGCTCTCAACAGCCCTGTGTGTCCAAGAGTCCCAGCAATTTCGCGGGGCTCCGGACCCGAAGCTTCTGGAAGCCCAAGCCCGTTGCAGCACACTGTGGTCCTGGTCCTCATTGGCTGCATCGGGGCCTCCATGGTCGCTTCGGTGATGAAGGCACGAGACAAAGAATTCTGCTCCGTGTTCTGCTACAGTTGGAAGGGTCCAGTCGAAGGTAGGTTGCAGCAAGATGTGGTGTGCTCGGCGCTAGTTCCGGGACCAAAGATCTTCGATCCAAACAAAGGCTTGTCTTGGGTTCGAGTCTTCTTCATCGCTGCTAAAGCATCATGTTTGGCTCCCTCCTGCAAAGCAAAGTCGGAAATTGCAGCCACCAATGTCGGCAAACTGCAACGTACTTGCGATCTGACGAGCACGGCCATTGATTTAAGGAGGAGGGCGAACAGACACTGGGTATGGAACGGGTACATCATTATGTAGAGGTGAGCAAAACCGTTTTCATCCCTTGCGTTCCATCATGGGGAGAAGATGTCGTACATCATCGTACAACTCCCGCGAGAGCGAACTGAATCTTGGTTCGAGACTACGGGCGCGAAGAGCTTTGCTGCTAGAGACGAGTTCGATTTGTCCTACGTGGCCGTACTCGACCGTCTGTGGTGAGGAGGGATTTGTCACGGGCAGGTTGAGTCTGGTGGAAGTAGTAGGAGGCACTGTCCGGAGTCTCACGCTAGGCAAGACTGTTTGGAGTCCCCCCCACTTGCACCGAGCTTATGGCAAGTGTCTTAGTTTCAGCGACCGCAAAGGTTTTTACGGTTTGCAGGGGCCAACATCACGTCGCATGACATCATCATCATCATCATCAGCGTCATCGTCATCATCGTCGTCGTCGTCATCATCATCATCATCACACACCCGGACTGTTAGCCGCTCCGTGTTTTGCAGCATCTCTGGTTCTTTTCGGATGGAGTCGGGGAAGGCAATAATGTTTCGATATCCCTGCCAAAGAATAACAGTGATTGTTGAGACTGGTGCTGTTGATCATTCAGAAGTCTTTCCAGTACTTTCCGTGGCATGGACTCCATGAGAGAACCGCTGAGGGCAAGGGTGTTTGAAAAGCGGGGTAGTTGGTCCGATCTTACGGTTTTCTGTGAGCTCCACCCATAAACCTGTCGAGGCAGAGATGGAGAAAAAGATGCAGGGCCACGACCCGGAGGCCTGCATCATGGGTGCGTGTGACACATAGCATTCATTTTGGCGGCGCTTACTTCAACCCTCAGCATCCCTCGGAGAAAAATCTTCCCTTTTGCCAGGATGTCGCCAAGCGTGTGGAGCAGGCACGCATGCGAGTGGGTTCAGGGATGATCATTAGGGCGAGAAGCTGGTTTTCCAGAGAGGAGTGCTTAGGCGTGTGGCAGTTGGTCCGTGTCCAACACATGGGTCTTTCCCACCGCAGTTGCACCGCTCAGCATCCTTGGGAGGTCAAGGAGAAGACGTCTCCCTACACTTCGCCCTACGCGTGCTTCAGTCAGCAGTTGTGATGTTATGTTGCATGGCCTGGCGGCAGGTTTGAGTTGTTTCGAAGTATCTGGGCCGATCCATTCCAAATGTATGAAGCAATGCCACAAGTACGCGACCTTGGCTGTCGCTTGGGTGGGAACTTCAGAAGGCCAGGGTGTAGTCACCTGCATATCAACATGCCGCTTTCAAAGTCTTGGAGTCGGAAAGAGTGAGAGTTGATGGAGCCAGAGCCAGAGGCCTGCAGCCCTGCCTACTCAGCGCGCCTGCTGAAGTGTTGGCCGGATTTGACCGGCTAGCTGCCAAGTCTCCCTTGGAGCTTTCCGGCTTCTCCGTGCTTCACCGTTTCAAATCGCAGAGCCCCTGCAGACAGCTGGCGACACGTTTCATGGCCACATAAGACCTCGCCGGTGCCACGATAAGGGAGCCAGGAGTGCAGGGAGGATCTCAGTTGATTTATGGGAACTGCAACCCAGGCTCCATCAGGCTCCTTCTGGTTACCAGGTCGTTGTTCAAGGTCCTCCTTCAGACTTTCTGAAACGCTCCCGTGCGTGCCGGGAATAAGAGCCGAACCGCTGACACGCCAGCTGCTCTATCTCACGTTCAGTGACTTCTGTTGTCGTGGACCAGAAGTTTCTGAAATTGGAGCGAAATAGGGCCGAGGGCGAGCTGCCACTATGGGTCTTGATTTGTATTTGAGGATGACTTGTTCAGTACCCACTCCGAGACCTCCCAGTGATATCTTGCTGCCGACTCCGGCTTCCAGGTGATTTCGTAGACTTGGCCGTCAGACCTGCGCGACGGCCCAACTTTCTTTTGAGAAGCCGCAGAAGCCATAAAGTGCCATAAACCACCGCGACCTGACCCGCCCGACGTTAAGCTCCAGTGTAGAGCTCAACAGGTTTCAGGCCTTACCGGGACTTAGAGGATTTTGATTCCTGCCGGCTCCAGCGTTCCGGAGCTTATGGCAGTCATGGCTGGGGCGGACTGCAGCAGCTGACATCGCTCTGCTGGCGTGCCGGCGTGTTCACGGGTTGTCGATGATGTGACTTGGTAGACAAACATGACAAAGCAGTAGAAATCTCTGTAGACAGGCAAAATGTACCGGAGCTCAGGCTCTCGGACTGAGAAGCTCTTAGTGTTTCGCACGGAACCATGTCGAACTTGTCGTCAGATGTGCACAATCGCGGCTGTGGCAAGACTTAGCACACGACATCTCACGGGCAGCCACTACAGTAGCATGAACGACGTGTTCCCATGTGTTGCGCACACGCAGACGACGCACAGTCCGGGCCGCGCATTCTCCAGAGCACCATGCGAGGATCAACACATGCAACAACTACAGCTTAGGAATTTTGGGCTCAATGATCAATCGTGCTTCGACACGTCCAAGGACACGTACTTCCGGATGTGCTCCTTCTGGGATGGCCAAGGCGACATTGGTAGCTCAAGGCTTCGGAAGCTTGGGGCCGTCGGAAATCGGAGCTCGGTTGTGGCGTTAGAGCTCTTACGCAGAAGCTATCCGACGCTTTCTGGATTTCTGCTATGAAGACTATACTATGGGGTGGATGAGCGATCATGAGTCACGGGGCATGTTGAGCACCGTTTACGAGGGCTTTCCTATCGCTTTACGAGAATGTTTCGAAGAATCCCCATACCGCTCGTCGATGTCAGTCGAGCCTGGCGACGTCCGACGCTTCTGCAACGGCCGCATGGTGCCCACGAAAGCTTCCCAGGTCGGGTGTCGGTTTTGCTTCTTTTGTTCCGCAGGGGCGTTTTGCTGGTGGTCTGTTGGGAGGCCGTCCCGGGGGAGCCTCTGATCTTCGGCCCCGCCGAGGATGCCATCGAGGCTCCGCTCCGGGAGGGCTGCAAAGTGCTGCCTTGACCGCGATGTCGAGGAGGTGGAGGGATGAGGATGATGAGAACCATCCTGATGCAGCGATGACGAGACGTACGGTAGTTGCAGCGTTGCAGCGATGGGTTTGGTATTGCTCGCGTAGATCGATTTTGGACTTGCCTCGAGCCGTCGCCATAACTTTCAGAATCAGACTTGCATGAGGCGCAGAGCGCTGCCGTGGGGCCCAGTGGACGGGAGGCGCCGACCTGGTTGCGAGAAGGGCGTTTTGGTCCAGGATGTGGGTTCTCGGTTACGAGAATGCGACTGCAAGGCAGTTCAGCCCCCAAGCTAGAGGGTTTCAATATGTATGTCAACCCACGGTAGTTGTACAAGTTCAAAACAGGCAAAGTTGTCATTCGATTCATACATCTATAAGAACTTTCGTGCTTGACACCACGGGACTTTCTTGACATCTCCACAAGGCTTGAGGGAGAAATGTTCTCCGTTCAAGTCAGCATTTGGTGTGCGGCGCAGTCATTGCATGACAGAGCAGTGAACAAAGACGCGTGCAAGCTATTGGCTCAAAAGTGCATGGCATGACGAAGGAGCTCCAGAAAGAGTCTATTTGGGAACAAGAATCACATAGACTCGCTGTGCTGTGTACTCGAAACGGTTCTCAGCTGTGAGTGTTGGTGCATGTGCAGTTTAGATGTCCTCCAAAACCGATACACACACATACATATAATTATATATATATATATATATATTAAGGTTTGACCCACACACGCGGTTATATATACATGACACGTGGTCACACTTTATCTCTTTACATACAACTGAACATCCCTGTGGCCTTCGAGGCCTTCCTGGACCACTGGACCGTGGGTGTGTACAGCTGCGCAAGGAGGGGCTAGTTGCGGGTCGTTGATGCGAGGAAAGAGCTAAAGGATTTCTTTCATTGCTTAGCACGTTGAACAGCGGACTGGCACGTTTCGACGGCCACGATTCGTCCGTTGCGTGCCATACACTGAAGAAGCAAAAGAGTTGAAGCTGTGAGAGCATGCTTCGTGTCGCGTCCGGACCACAGCGGACCTTCCCCCAAGGATGAATCCTTTGTTGACTGCTTGCTGAGCCCTGGCGTGGATACAGGTGCCGCAGGCAGCTGTATCCATCCTCTTCAAAGTGGCGTGGCACTTGGCGGTGCCCTCTAGTCAGTGCATGCTCGACCTGTGCTCCCAGATATGAAGGTCATTGCAGTGGGTGTGAGCTGTCATTGTGCCTGGGGGCAACATGTGCAACGTTGCAAAACTGCAAAGGCGTGGTCCCTGTGCTTGGCCATCTTTTCGGGCACCGATTTCGACTACGGCGCTTGTGCTGCAGATTATGTCCCAGACCCCATCACACATCGCAGGCTGAAACGTAGATTCGCGGGTAGCGTGCGCGATGAGCGATGCAGGCTCTGTTGGGTTGTGCCTGGACAGGGCTGGTTTGGTCCCATAACCGCCGCGTGTATCCCCGACAAAGATCTGTCACACACCTTGGGAGTGCAGCCCTTTGCTGCAGCAGGTCCGAAGGTCGTTCTAGGACAGCAAGCTACACCAGCATGCTTGCCGAAGACAAAGGCTCTGCGAACGCGCCCTGTCGTCGGATATGGGAGCCACCGGAAGCATTCAGCTCGCCTGTCTATAGCAGCTTAGCATTCCCTGTTGGCAGCCGAGTCGCAAGTGCGATCCGTGAGTGCATGTCAAAGTGCAGTGAAGTAGCGTGTCGGTGTGCGCCTAGTTGGACCAACTGCTGAGGCTACAAATGTGCTGTAGCAGAGCTTTACTGTGAGAGCTGCCAGTTGTTCATAGGCGTGGCCCTCAGCGCGGTTCTGTGAGTGCTGCCCGGGTTTTTGAGATGGTGTCCTAAGAATTCACTTCCGAGCCGCGACTAGGTCACTGTTTCCAAGATGCCTTCCAGCTGGGCGACAAGGCCGGGCTTTGTGGGTCACAGCTGTGCGGGGCAGAGGATCAGTCGACGCTGTGACACAACAAAACCGGAAGGTTTGATTCCACTGGACCCGTGGCCACCAGAAACAAAAAGCAGCGACACGGTGACACGAGCAGACCACCCCAATGCTAGTGTTTTTTTCGCTTCCGGCATCCGGCAAAAGCCTCATGTTCTGAGCAAAGACTTGATACAATGGCAGGGCCCGGAGAGCACTGGCTGGCGCCACTGAGTCTTATCGCGCTCGCTGCGTTTCGAAGCGCAAGCGAGCTTGTAAAAAGGGGGGTCGGTGAGGTTTCAGCGTTGTGCTTCAGCGTTGTGCTATCCTCCGGTTGCACCATACTGACAGGGCTTTAGTGACGGGTTTTGGTAAGGTTCGAGAGGTCGTGTCGGTTGCGGGCTCGACACTGAAACTCCACTCAGCTCCGCTGAGCGACTTGCCCAAGACAACGGCCAGAGGGTGCCACGAGCCGGGACCTTGGTTTTGCCACGCTACGAGCCGGTCAGGGAGGTTTTGTGTCTGTCAATGCTGGCGAGAGCTGGCCAGAGGTTTGCCGTGGCTGGAGTTGTGGGTAGATTGAGCAGATGTCATGTCCAGAGCCTTTAGTGCAAGGTCATCTTGCGCTGGTGACATTGACGGCCACCCTGTGAGGGTGCTCCAGGTCTTTGGAGTTTGCAAGAATGAGCTCGCAGGACATCCCTTGGTCCCAGCTGTCCAACTGTGCAGTGCCATCATCGTGACACAACCAATATTTCGGTTTTCCCTTGATGCAGTACTTGAACTGATCATCTCCAAGTGTCGCACGAACCTGCATGCAGGGGATGCCTGGATGCACCGTTAATGAATCTGAGCGTGCCCTCCCAGCTTCATGAAAATGCCACGGACAAGCTGAGCAAGGGCATGATCCTATTCTTATGAAGCTGTGCTGTGGTTGCGGTTGTCACCGGTGCTTGCTTTCAAAACGTCTCCATGAGCTTGGCCGCACGCCGTACGAGCTTCCTTTGTGACTCGTCGGATCTCGCCCAGTCTTTCCAAGTCATGGCGTTTCCGTGCTGTACCTCATTCAGACGGCTTCCTGAGGCGGTGCAGACCTGAAACAGCTCCGTTTTTGCTTTGGCATGATGCATGGTACGAGCCCGCGGCCCAAGAGCCACACACCTCGATTTAGTTGTCAAAAAAAGCCGCAACCACGAAGGATGACGAAGCAGCAATAGGCAGTACTTGCAAGCCGAGTGCGCAAGAGGCTTGAGGGAGCTCTGCACGAGGTAGCCTTCCCCCAAGCCGAAGCCTTGTCATTCAGCCTACCGAAGCCCTACGACCACCAGATGTGACACCGAAAGTAAACAGTAGGGCGGAGAGCCTCTATCTATCAGAGCCATGCTGCAGCTTCCACAAGTCAGGCCCGAAGACATCAAAGGCCTTTCAGGGGAGGAGGGGAGTTGAATTTTGCGGGCCCATGGAGGGCAATTTTTTGTGGGAATTCATTTGTTTTCGCCTGTGGGCGCTTTTTTGGGCATCGTCCGCTTTCTGCTTTTGTCCTTTTGCGCTTCTCCGCTTCAGAGCACGAGCTGCGACTGTCTGCTTCTGCGCTTTTGCTTTTCCGCCTCTCGGCTTCGGACAAGTTTTGCTGCAAACCTGGTCTCTTGCTGCTTTGCTCTTCTGCTCCGGCGCGCTGCTGTAGAATGCAACAACACAGTATATATATATATATATATATGCTATTAATATATAAATTTAACATCATAAATATTGATGGTAGATCAGGTATAGTCAACAAAAGCAAACTCGCAGAACTTCGGCAGTCCGCTGTTTCTCTTTACACTTTTTGCTCCCGCCGCTTACATCGACTTAGGATCCTCCCGATTTTTGACCTCTCCGTGCGTCTGAGCTTCCTTCGCATACCCTCCCCACCCCCGCACACGCCCTGCCTGCATTCGTTCTCAACCCTTGGTATTGAACCCTTAGTTGGAGATAGTCGGAGTGTGAAACTGCAAACATTGCGACAAAGCTTGTGATTGCCGAGTTGGAAACGTCCCCACTCTGCGCATCTCGTGTCTGCTTCCTGCGAGGTTTTGCCAATGCCCCGATCTCAGCACTAGTCGCTTGCTGACGTAGTCAGCCATGTGCTCATCATGAAAGACAGAGAGGCAGAGTTAGGCCAAAGATGCATTTGGGTCCGTCTCTTCTGCGACTGCCCACGGTTCTGGCTCTTCTCAGACGACCGCATCTTTTGGGTTTGGGTCCGCCGTTCCTTCTTGTAAGCCAAGTCTGAGCGTTCGAAGCAAGGTCATTGCCAGGCTGGCAGAGCTGATGTGGTCTCCTCAGGAGGTTCAGCGTGGCACAATATGGCACATGTACATGCGCTTGCTTGGCCCAAGGTCGTTGGCTGCCTTCCTGCCTGTGGTGTTTCGAGGCCCGGACCAGCCATTCTGCAAGGGCGATGGTTTTTGACGAAAGCCTGGGCATATAGAGGACGACAGGAGAAGCATTCAAGGAAAGACACTCCGTATAGAGGCAACAAGGACATTGCTTTGCAAGCCTCCAAGGCTTCCTTGACTGATAGCACAGACGTTTCACATGAACAGAAACAGCTGCCCGTCGGGGGCGTCGGTGCAGGGCGGATGAGCTTCACGTCAGCTCGAACGAGGCCGGACGATTTGGATTTTCCGTCGTGCGGTTGGGCAGTTTCGTCATGAAGCGAGATCATGTCATTGGAGTTGGCTTTAAAAAAAATTCTGGGTTTAGGGACAGACACGTTGGAAAGTTTGAAAGGACTGCCGCCTTGAAGGCGGCCGAGCAGAGGACCTGGCAGCGTTTCTGTTGTGAACTGACCTGGCCCGGTTCCGGCTTAGGCCAGAGCAGGATTGAATGTCAGAGTTACATCTGCAAAAAAGCTTCACGACACAACATCCTGCTGAAGCATTTGGACTTCTGCTTTGCCTTGTACTTGTGCTTCTCGAAGAGGAAGGCGGACCAGAAGGCTGCTGGCGACAAAGACAAGGACAAGGCTGGGCATTCCGCTGAGCCTTGCGCTTCTCGGCTGCAGACTTCACTTCTGAAATTTCTGAGAGGATGATGCCGAGCCAGAGGAGGCCTCGTGAGCAGAAAGCCACACAGAGGAGGCACATCGGAGATCCTCTGCTCGAGGCCCCGGCACAGGGTGCCCCAACCGGCATCTTCTGCCTGCTGCTGTGCTTGGCTTCGGAGGCATCCCTTCTCCCTGGCCAGTGCCACTTTCGCATCAGACTTTCAAGGAAAGGCGCAATGGAGGACGGTTGGAATCGATCAAGACTACGAGGAGCTCTAAACCCTCCATGAAACCTACTGTAGGCTGGGTCTTAGGTGCTTGCGTGTGGACAAGTCCACCTGGGCGACTGGCCTCGGACCAATTCTGCAGATCACATCCCGTGTTGCATTGAGAGCATTTTCTGAGTCACGGCGGCTTGTCTCCTGATGCCAGGTTCTTCGTGGTCGTGGCTTGTTTGCGCCTGTCCGGATCCCAAGCGAGCAGATGACGCAGACACCTTCCCCGTCTCGAAAAATTAGCAATGCGTGAAACCGCGCGTCAAAGAAACGGAATCCTCTGTTTGGCCGGAGGCCGCCTCGGGCTCCAAGGCCCTCCGAGGGCAGAATTGGGCAAGTTTCGTCGCAGCGTGGTCTCAGGATCAAGGGATAGCTGAGGCACCACGGATCCGAAGACTTGATGTTACTTGATGGACCGGGGACCGGGTGTCTTTTTATAGCCTGTAGCCGCACAGAATGAATGCCATTGATCTGCACTTTCGCTGTGAGATCACTTTTGGGTGAGCTGGATGAGCTGGATGGTGTATTCATCTAAGACTGGCCGTACTTCTTGAGCTTTGTGGTCCAACCCGCCCCGCCCAGGACTCGCCCGTCCTGCTAGTCGTCGAGAAGCTCAAGACGGTGGATTGCGGGAACACCAATCCTACGCCTACGCTCCAAACTGTACTCTGGACAGTAGGTGTCGTCTGAGCCACGCACTTGTTTTTGCGGTCCAGTGGGTTGTGTAAACAACCGGTATAGCGGTATGGTGCTGGTTGTCGGTGAATATAGTAAGTTTTCTGCGTATGGTGACATTCTGTTGGACCATTGTGGGATCAGAGCTGGTTTGGCTTAGGGGAGACGTTCTGTTGCAACTTGTCCGGTACACATTCGCACGAGAGTGTGCCAAAGATCCCATCGAAAAGTAGTCTGTGACCCAAGACGGAACGGAACGGCTCTGCGCAGGTGGGCCAAAAGCTTCAAAAGCGACACAGCGACATCCTGGATAAGAGCATTCTGGACACGTCGTCAAACAGGTTGATGGGTCTCGTAACTACTCGGACATGCAGAGTGCGTGGATCAGACATGGGCTTTAGCAGGAGCGCGTCAGCTTGGCCTTCGCAGAGGTCCTCAAGACGCAGCAGGTCGCTTGGAGCAGTAAGCGTGCTTCACGCATTGGGGTTGATGATGATGCAACCTCTTGTCGTGAGGGGTTGAGGCGATGCACGCAAGCAGAGTTTGAATAACTGAATCCGAGGCTGGGGTTGTGGAGCCATGAGCAGCGCAGTGATCTTTTGTTGCGGGATGTCGAAGCCTGCGAATCTCCCAAGACCTGCGGTCCAGGTCTTTGCAACGATCCACAGCCTCGTGATGATCTGTCGGCTGTGCCACGGGTTATTATAGACGGGCGGTGTAGTGTCAAATTTCCCAATGCCATGTGAGACATGTTCAGAGCTCGGTTTTCCTCGAGGAGCTCTGATTGGCAAAGCTTTCGGGTGCTTGCACGCATTGCTCTGGAACGCACCACGCACGTACTGATCTGGCGGGGGAGGGTAACAGGCAGGGGTTGATAAACCAAAACTGAGCATGAGCCGGTGTGGACAGCATCGAGTGGCATCGGGTCAGCTTTCGACATCTGGGTCTTGTTGCCAGGTGTGGCAGTGGCAGCACTGCTGAATGCCGTCGCCCAGCATTGAATATTTGTTCATATCTCTTGTCTTCGAACGTCGTGCTGCACCTATGAACTTGAAGTGTCGTTGCTCCCAAGAGGCATCTGCAACTACCGCAGCGAGTATGCATCGTGTGGCTAGAAGGTTTTCCTGCCCAGTTTATCTCCCTGTTCAGGCCTACCCCTATCAGGGTGGAATGCCAAGCCATGCACAAGAAGTGCTCTTTGAAGCCTTGTTGCGAGTTCTCTCACCGAGCATATGCACTGGCTTCTCCGAGGCGGTCTCAATTGGGCTGCCGGCAATCGGCCGCTTCTTCGCCGGGAAGCGGCAGGCAGATCGCCCTCGTGATTGTGCAGTTGGATTCGGATTGGCAGCTGCAGTGGAGGGACCGCTGAGCTCCATTCGGTTTGGCTGTGCTCGTGTCCGCAGCGGAGATGTGTCGGTTTGCCACAGGCAGATGCTGCAAACTTGGCACAAGCAGCAGTTGTCATGTTGGCAAGGATGCAAGGAATCTGTGGACTTCGGTTCCCGCTGCTTCCCTGTTTGTCGTTGAACGTCGACTTCTGTCGTTGTGCACCAACGAGGCATCGTCGTCAACGGCGCCTTTGCTGTTTGCCGCCTTGTCCGTCGTGCCCGTTGGCAGCAGAAGGGTTGGGCACTCTTCTGGACCCGAACTGTGAATTGGAGATGTCTCGACTCACGGAGCTTTCCTTGACCTGTCTGAGGCCCGTAGCCATTTTTGGCTATGGGCACTTCGCGAACCTGCTCAAGGCCTGACGATGCATCGTTCTAAGCTTGCGGCAGGGACCAACTGGAGACGGTAGATCCCGCAGGTGGGCGAATTCAAGGAAGCCAGCTTAGCCTCGTGTTTAGCAAGCATGGTCTCCCCCCAGACCTCACATCCTATACACCCGCCCCCGCACTGACACCATTTCTCTACCTGCTTAATAAACTCACCTTCCTGATACAACCTAAACAACAGTCACTAGCCACATCCCATTACACAATGCAAACACACAAAACCGAAAGCACGCCCCCGAACCTCACTGCCAAAGCTGCTCGCGTATGCCATTGGCGGACAGGCCCTCCGGGCCGTTCCACAGCTTCCTGCCTTGTGTGACGCGTGATTCTTACTTTTGATTCGCGGTGCAAATCACAGGTTTCTAGCCGCTAGCCTGTGTGTGGGCCATGGTGAGACTTACTGAGCCCGGGGCCTGAGGCCCTGCAGCATGCATTGCGGGTTGCGGCAGTCGTCGTCGCCGATGCTGTCCCCTCCTTGTACTGGAATGCGCAGCTGGAGTTGGCACATATCCTTGGCAGGATGTCTCGAGCCTGCGAGAATCAGGACGGAACGCCTGCTGGCTTCGCCATGTTCCAGGCAGCGCTGCGCCGCATCTTGCGACTGTTTGCACTCCTCTTCAGTTGATCGAGCGATTATGTTGATGAAGGCGTTTTCAGTTTTTTGGTAAAGGCTTTGTACCGTCCGCCTCGGTTCGGTGGAAGGTGAGCGTGGGTGGAGGGGGGGGGGACGGGGGGTCATTGAGTCTTTTGGAAGCCCATATGGGGGTTGGGGTGTGGATTTCAGGAAGGTTCCCGGGTGGAAAGAGGGAACCTCTGACCCCTTCGGCCGGGGCCGAGGCGAAAAAAGTCCTACCAATGTGTCGGTTCAAGTTCAGATCACAGAGTGCTTGTCGGTCTTATTTAGCAATCAGGTTCACAGGGCATCATGTTGAACAGGTTTGTAATTCTGTTTATGAAGAAGCGCAGGAACGGCTGATAGGATTGACTTTGCTCATTGTGTAGCTTCCAAATCGCCCCCCGGCCCCCAACCCGTTGAGAAAAGCAACTCCCCTAAGAGAACACTAAGAGGCTGCCTCCTTACTGACGCGGATCTCGAGCGAGGCGGGACTACAGGGGATCTTGCCAGGTGGGAGTCAGAACAAGCTGAGGGTGGTGAGGTATTGTGGAAGGTGTGTTTCAGCTGGTTAAGCCAATATGCTAGTGTCTTGTTGAACTTGGTACTGGTTCGGCTTTGATGATGGCGACATGCGTGTCCGCAGCTTCCGACAAGGATTGCTTCGGAGTATAGTGGTGCGAAGTTCTCGAGGGCGAACGCCTGCATCGTGTCGGCAGTCGAGCCGCGAAGAAGTCCAGGGCTGCTTTAAACGCGCAAGCGGGGTCTGATAGGAGCTCATTGGCCTGAGGTTTTTTCGTTTGAGACCGAGGGGAGAGAACGAACGGTCGGCTCCAGAGGGTTTCACCTCTGGCATTCCCTTTCCGCCCTTCCGCCTTGATTTCCAGGTCGCTTCCGGGAGGCTGGCGGAGGCGAGGTTTCTCTGTTTGCCACAGTTAGCAAATCCGTCCAACTACGGCAGCACCCGGGAGGCGTTGGCGCCCATCCGTGCCAAGCAGGACTTTTGGAGCTTGCTGGACAACTCGACAGCAGTGTCGCTTCTCTGCATTCGCTTCTCTTGCGGATCCACTTGAGATAGTCAGGCCAGGTCCCGATCCAGACAGGTCCATCGAATCCTGCACAAAGACCTGCGCATATGACATCTCTTGCCATTCCCCCTTTGACTCTCAAGGAACGGGCTGATAAGTCTTCTGGGCACCCTCTGGCTGGCCTTCGGCCACTTGCGGAGGCTGCAGTTGAGCCGATTGTGCGGGTGTCGTACTAAAGATCTTTGGCATGGACCCACGGTGTGCAGCGATTTTCCGTCTTGAGTCAGAATCGCAGTTGACAGGGCCTTTTGCAAGCCTTCCTGGGGCTAGCCTGGTGGGTTGAGGCTTGTGCTCATAGGAGATGCCACCTGACAACAGCAGACTTGCAATGGTCGCTTCGGATATGTGAACCATTACGAACGCCCTCAGCCAGGCACAGCGCGCTGTTGGCTGGAATGGCGCTGCTGTCCATCGCCGCCTCGCCAGTGACGCTGGCGTTAGGATGGCCCGAGGCCTCTTCTGTTTTGTTCTCGACTTTTGAATGACGGTTCAGAGGTAGCATCGAACCCGTCTGGAGTTGGCTCCTTTCGGCAGGGGATGGTCGTTGAATTCAGGTCGTGTCTCGCTTCCGTACACGCTCCCGGTGCTGCATTCCATCCCCCACCGCAAAGCCAACGTCTCGGTCAGTATTATAGTCAGTACCAGTGCAACACTTAACTTACAGCTTGTTTGTTTGCTTCGAGCGCATGTTGCTGGAGGCATCAAAGCTACTGGGTTTGCCGACCAACGAAGCCCACCCTGAGCGAGGCACAGGAAGGTTCATGCTCGTGATGCTGCTGTCGGTTGAATATGGTCGTCACCGGGGTGAAAGTATGGCATGACAAATGCTGGCGCATTATTCAAGGATATGCTGAGTTTGCTTCCCGTGCAGAGTGCTTCGAGGCTTCAAGCTGAAGTGATTGAGGCCAGCCTTACATCTATCTATCCAGGCTCCTTGTAGGCTTGTACACGGGCGGTGCCCAAGCAAGCTAGTTCACGAGCTCACGGTCAGAGGACTGTTTCCATCATTCCATACAAGGGGAAGGTGCTAGAAAGCAGCTGTCAGTGCGGCCATGTGCTATACCGAATTGAAGCATTGAGACATTTGCAGATGCAAATCAAATGGACGCCTTCCTGTCCATGCAGGGCTGCTGCGGTTCACTTCGGTCCTGTATGCCGGCACCGCTGCAGCCACGCTTCTTTCGGGAGGCACTCGTCGTTACTCCGCTGAGTGCGGTTGCAGAGGTGTGTTGAGAGCCATAGCTTCGGGGGCTGTTCCTCTGGCAGACCCAGCCGTTTCTGAATATGACGATATCTCGAATCGGCTCGTGTTCACCGGGCCTTGATTCATTGTAAGCCTGCCACACAGAAGATGAAGTTAATCGCAGGGACAAGGCCGGCAGCCTTGGTATCTCTCAGAGCTGTCGCGCCCCGGAGGTACTGTGGGGATGCTGTCCGTGATGCTCGTGTTGCAGCTGGTAGCAAGGCCGGTGAATCAGGGCGGCCTCTGGTACAGGTGTGTTTGGCCCGACATGTTCAGCCATCTTTCGGAGAAAGACTGATGTAGTGGTCCATGGCAGTGGAAGACCTTGCCCTCCAGTTGGCTCCCAAGGCTTCGACTCCAGATCTTTGCAAAGATCATGCCCGAAAAATTGGCAGTTCAGCCTAGACTTGCAATCCGTACTTATATCACGAAAGTGTCAGACGCAACTCCGAAGCAGAAGACTGCAGTGAGATCTCCGTCCCTCACAAGATGGGCCAAAGCTGGAAAGCAACATCACAGTTCATCTCACTCACGCTTCAATTTCAGCTCTGCTGGGGTTTGGGCTTCAAGTTGACGGCATCAATCCCCACTTTGCAACATCGGAGGATTCACGGAACCGAAGCCTTTGCCAGCCTGTTCTCCTGAGCCCGGGCGTTGTGAGTGTGAAGAGCAACGGTAGAAATGTTGACGACGATCCACCATCTTTGATGAGGGCTGGCTGCATGTGTCTGTCTTTTCGCGCAGCATGTCAGCGGCAGGCAACATATGCACAAATAGACATAAATAGACCATGAACAGTGGTAGTAGCCGGACCCGGGCGCTGAGCCTGAGATAATGCACCCTCCCTTCGGGAGCGGCCCGTGCGCCGAACGAAAAGAGCGTCCTCGCGGCTTTCTTGACATGTGCAGCAGAAACAGATGCAGAGGGCCGAGGGCCAGCGAAGGGCAAGAGGAGTTTGGGGATGTTCGGATGGATGAAACCGCATTTACACACTGCTTCTTCTTCTCGGTTCTGCCTCGTTTCCGTGAGACGAGCCGAGATGCCGGTCCGTGGCTTTGCCGGCTCAGCAGGAGAGGCTCTGTGCGGCTCGCAGCTTCTTGCTGGCGTGCCTCGCAACAGGAGGATTTCCAGCACAAGCGACCTGTCATGCTTGTTGAGTCATGCACTCATGATGCATAAGGGCACGGAGACATGCGTTGCTTCGCGCTGGAGGTTTGCTTAGAGTGCATGCATTGCAGGAGGATGCATGAGAGACTTGGTGGCTCCCTCAGGGCATCGGCAGAATCGTTGAGTAGATGGTGCACGAAGATACAATCTGGCAGCAACCCTGTGCTTCGAAGCCTTTCCAGAACTCCCAGCTCCCTAGAGCCGTGCTAGGGCTGCTAGGGCCGCTTGGGCTTTCTAGAGTCTTCATTCCGAGTCCATGTTTCAAAGGATGATGTGGTACGGCCATACTTTCTGATCCCAAGTTCTCTGATGTGAAATCGTTGAGGCTTTTGTTGACCGCGCACCCCCTGCAGTGGGCCGGGGCGTGCTCGCGCGTGCGGCGAAGTGCTGGTGATGCTGGCATGCGTTGTCCAAACACTGCCTCTTTTCTGCTGGTTTCTCTGTTTCAGTCAGGAGTCTTTGCTTCCGGTCCTTGCCTTTACGCCTTGAGACTTGAGACTTCTTGGTTCTAGTTCCATGCACACGAAGCCGCGGTGAAGTCTTCCTCCTGTGGAAGATCCAATCTCAACGGCTGCTAGGCTGACATGGGCAATGTTTTCCGCGACTGGCGCAGCAGGCCGTTCGATGGTGTCATTCCTGCATGCACGCCGCTGTGAGGCTTTGGGAAGCCTTGGAATGCGTGGATAGGTCGGAGGATTCACATAGCTTCTGTCAGGCAATGAACCTCAGGGTGCCAGAAAAGCAGGTGCCTTTTGCTTCGCCCTTGGACGTGGTAACGGTATCAAGGAATACGAAGCAGTTCACACTTTCTGGAGAAGGATGTTCGGCGGCTCTGTCAGTTTCTGTCGCATATAGTGGAGTGCCGGTCGAGAATGTGGATTGGACTGAGATTTCAACGTGGGCAATGCACATGGTTGCGGAAGCAAGTTGTCAGGTCCTGTTGATCAGCCTGACAAGCAAAGCTCCGGCCACTGCGCACACCAAGACATGGCACGGAACAGGTGTCTCACTCGAGGGAGAACGAGAGGAGATCAGCGAACAGAGAATCAGTGCTGTACCTCCTCGCGCGCCTGCAGAGTAGCCAGCGGTGCTGCCAGAAGAGTTTGAATCTGACGGATGCGGCCACGGGGGTAGCCGACCGAGTAAAGCCAAACCTGAGCTTCTCCCACGTTGTGACATAAACCGTCGGTCAGAGAGCGCAATTGTGAATCTTCCATGCTCAGAGGCAGTCGCAAGCCACCGAGGCCAGTCCACCCCACCGGTGCTGATGCAGCGGAGAGCTTCGCTGACTAACCGGACAGCAGGCACCAGAGTAAGTCATACACTGATTTCTTCTGTCGGTCGTCGGTGCAGTGTGCAGGAAAAGGCAGCATTCCGATTCCAATTACATGCATAGCATCATCTGTTGCTCGGAGTGTTTGCTTGGCAGCCTTCCCGCGAGTCGGTTTGCACACTCCATAGCAGATCACGAAAGCTAGCTCAGTGGAGCTTGCGGGAGTCGTCGTTTACCAAGCGCCCAAGCAGTGGTGACCCGCAACCAAATCGTGCCCAGGACCGTGTCTGTTCCTTTCACAATACCCCTCCCCCACGGTAAGGTGGGTGTTGTACAAGGTCGCCCCCCTTCCCCCTCGGCTTCCGGTCCTTCCCTGTGCATCCACTTAAACAGCATGGCAAGCCGCCGAGTGCGTGTACTGCTACCACCAGGACAGTTCGAAGCTGCTCGTAGAGGGCTGGCTTGTTGCTTGCGCACGGACATTCCGGAGTGCAATGTGGTGGGTCAAGGAGTACGACAAGTGTGTATTTGTATGTGGGCCAGTGTAATTCAGAAGAATCATATCAGATATCAACTTGCAGGTTTCAATGTTCTTGGCAATGCACATGCGCTTGCATCCATGCTGCCGAGCATGCACGCAAGAACGACCAAGCTCTGTCGACTCTGCTTCCTTTGATTGCCCAAGCTTCTCGTGGCCATCTCCTCAAGGGGACCCTATTTTTCTTGACCTTTTTTTTTTTTTGCCTTTTTTTTTTTTCCTTTTGGGGCC